GCTTGAGTAGTTAGCTACTGTGAATTGTCCTAGATATGGATAGAGAACTGTAAAGTTCGTCGGTAACTTTGATATTTGATTCAGGTTACATTATAAGAAAACTATTTATGTGATATCACAAAGAACAGAAAACTGTATATTTTTATTACATTATATAGGAATTAAACATTAAGGTGAACATTTTACAATGTATTTGGTTAAAGTTAAAGAGTGTGAGTGGGTTGTTTTGATTGAGGACTACTATATGTGTTTTGTAAGTCTAAATTTCTCCAAACTATGATATAGCAACATATATTTTTAAATACTAGCGCAGAGCAATAACTATGTATGATTAATCAGCAAGTTTTAAGTAACAGGACAATGTCATTCTGTCTCACAAATGAAATGATAATGCGATTCAATCTTATTTTACGTACAATGTTCTTTACGTAATCACCGTGTTTATACTTCCAAAGCAGTAATAGAGTTTACATGATGTTATTTATAACACAAGTTATGAAATATTATAGAACATTTTTTTAGCTGATAATATCCATTGATAATAGACTATAGCTGAATAATTCATAAATAGAAAAATCTCAGGGAGGAAATAGATTTGTTAAATAGTTAGATTGCTTTCTGTTTTGTTTGTTTGTTATTAATCACAAAACTACACAATGAGCTACCTGTGCTCTGCCAACCATGGGTATCGAAACCCGCATTTTAGCGTTGTAATCTGTGAGATTTGCCATTGAGCCACCTGGAGGGAGCAGTTAAATCGGTACTTGCTTATACAGATTTTATGGGATAATATCTCTCGTTATAAGCTTACAGATTTACCAATGGAAGGTAGTTTTTAACACCAAGGCCAGTATCACAGTTATAAAAACAATGTTAATATATCTGAAACCCTTTGATAAATCCAGTTAAACACTAGTATAAAGTCTATAAAAGTATACGTCTAGTACATGGATCAAGCCATGTCTGCCAGGGCTGAAATACCGTACAACAAGCATGTATAAATTAAAGGTTTGGCTGGCCAAAGATACTACATGCGAAACATTGTGGCAAAACGCCAAGTGTTTGTAGGAACTGTGTGTACAATTTGAAGAGAATATATACATGAAACTGGCATTTTTAATAATAGACGTGGTTGAGATAGAAATCGAAAGCTCTCCCATAATGACGTTAAGTATCTCAAGGTATGTTCTTTATGAGATAAACGACAGTTATGTATTGATCTTGCCAATGAATTTGCTGTAAGCTCAGAAGTGATCTCAGTGATGGGCATCAGACCACAAAAAGTGGAATGAGCAAAGCTGGAAACGTGTGTGTGATGTACAAATGAATCCAACTTCGAATAGTTTGGAAAACATGAATGACAGTATTTTTTACGGCAGAGAAGAGAATGGTATCAACATCTAAAATATAGCTTGGTGAGAAATAAGTACAAGTTTGGGAGCTATAACAGTGTCGGAGATCTACACAAAATTGATAGCATCCTGACAGCTTACAAGATCATGAAGGCCCTGATCCGTCATGTTTGTAACTCAGGAACATTGATCATCTTACAGCAAGACAATAATCCCAAACGTGGTGAAATGATATCTTGATGATATAGACGGAATAGTTAAAACAATTGTTTGGCTTGCACATTCCAGATATAAAAAAAGACTGCATGAGTTTGTTTCAAAATTGAAAAGGTCAAAACTCGACCCAATAAAATGGTTGAATTGTAAGTTGTAGAACAGATGGTTGGGAACAACATTCTACAACCGTATGGCAGCATGAAAATAAGGTATAGTGCTCTGTGTACAACAAAGGGCACACATACAACATACATTGTTCAACTTATTTCTTTTTCTTCTTGTTCTTTCTGTGATAATTGGGTGGGGGTATAGCTTAGTGGTTAGCGCACACGGACTACAAATCCGATGGTTTATGGTTCGTAGCCCGTTGCCATAAAAACGCACTCCGAACTTTGGGGTTGTGAATGTTTTAAAAGAATGACAGTCAAATCTCACTATTCGGTTAGACAAGAGTAGTCTAAAAGTTGGTGGTCGTTACTGTTGACTCACTGCTTTGTCTCTAGTCTGTCAGTTCAATATTAGGTAATATAAGTAGATAGCCCTTCGTGTAGTTTTGCAAGAAAATTCTAAAACAAACTGTGATAATGTTTTACACCGTTAATAAATTCCCCATGTAGTAGCCATTATGTGCTGTTTCTGACTCATGTACGTGTATGTTTCCATAATTAATTTCATCACTATGAATTAATTAAGGCAGGTGAACTTATCTTGAACAAATTCTATGTTTGCTAACAAACTTCCACTAAAAAGTACGACTGAAAGTGCGCGATCTTTGCCTTGTAATATGACAATAATGTTGATTCTCTTTACATTTATTATATTTTATTGGAATAACATAATTCTCTTTCCATAAATACAAACTGTAAAATGTTTCTAAAAAAATCCTTTGTAGCCCGGTAATATTCGTTTGGTTAAAGTAATTATCATATCGTATGTTATCTATTAGCACGTATTCAATTATTAATTTCACCACACACATTTTGTAATCTCTGCGTTCTAGATACAGCAGCATTTTTAGCATACGTTATGATTTATAAAATAAACATATGTTTAGAACAGAGGCTTGCGATTGAATAGTATGTTTTTATAAATTAAAGTATAAAACTCTTTGTGTTATCAGCTTTAGGGTGTATTCAACTTTATTATTTCCTGAGTTGCCTGAGTGATTATTTATGTATACACTTTCCAAAAAACTAGTCTCCGTATACATTACGACATAGGTAGGTCTCTGGGTGATATCTGAGGTTATCAATCTGTTACATCTCTATAATTATAGCGGTAACATAAAATCCTCATTGCATGCATTGTTTCGGCAAAATAGACATAGATGTATAGATAAAATTGACTATCTGTGTTATACTTGCATTTTTCGTTTGCGCCTTTAAAAACAGCCTCTCATTATATCTGTAATAGCATCCATTTTACAACTTTAAATGATCAATTACAATATTTCACTAGTTATAACTTTTTTAACAAACAAAACTGAGGTAATGCGGTAATAATTTTTGAAATCATACTTATACATGTGTGACCTGATATCTATGCCTTATCTACATATGCATAATTTAGGCTACATGGGTTAATTATTCATTTATCAGAAGGCAAAGTGCTGAATTGCGTAACAAAAATGTTCGCCGTTTCTAACTTAAAATGATCTCAACTAGTGGGTTCAGCTGATTTATCAAAATATTTTCAAAACCATTAAAACTACAACAACGATATAATAATATACATGACAGGCTAATCGTCTGGCTGGAGTGATGCTGTGGTTTAGCATTTATAACTTAAGCCATCATTTTATTATAACAGTGCCAAAAAGCTATAGGATTTACGAGCAAAATGACTTTTCAATGGAAATTGTGTTAAAAGCAATTATTTTTATATTGTTAATACACCAAGGTGACAGGAAGATTAATTTTACAGCATTAGCTTGTAATCAGCTAATGTATGAAATTACAGCATTAATGGCGTACGGTTACGAATATATAAACATCATTATAATCAAAGTAGTAGAATATGTGGAAAAAAAATGAATATTTTTGGCGTTAAAAATTATAAAACAAAAGAATATAGTGATATGAAAGTTATGATTGAATCGTTTCATGGTAACCTGAATCGTTTCATGGTAACCTGGTTTGCTAGTATAAATACTTTATAATAATTGTTGATTCAGAAATAAAATTCTATCGATATGTATGTTTCTCTATAGTTTAAAAACTTTGTTGTTATGATCAATTCCTAATGTTACTTAAATTTTGTGGTCGGTTTTAAATTTTCTAAAACGCCAACAACTACAAAGAATTTAATAGTCTAATTAAACAGTCTTTTAACCGCGATTCGAAGTGTTAAAGAAATACATAAAGATTAATAAAATAATAATATTAATAATCAATATTTCATCTTAACGCAGTACTTTAAATGTTGCCATGGTTAATTCATAAATTTCGTTACTTTTCAAACATAACTGTTTTCAGTTAAATCTATGAAAGTTGTTTCTGCTCATAATCTTTTCCAACTGAAATAAGTTTTGGCAAATTTTAAGAAAATTGTCACCTTCTGCATTCATTGTTAATAAAACCTATATAAAACGAAAAATACTTTTTGTTAAATAACTGTTATCTGTCTTTCTTTCTTTTACTGTTGTAAAAAAGAAATAACAAACACAAAAATCCATATTTAGTTCTATTATATACGGGCCCGGCATGGCCAGGTGGATAAGGCGCTCGACTCACAATCTGAGGGTCGCGGGTTCGAATCCGCACACCACCAAACATGCGTTATAATGTGACGGTCAATCCCACTATTCGTTGGTAAAAGAGTAGCCCAAGAGTTGGCGGTGGGTGGTGATGACTAGCTGCCTTCCCTCTAGTCTTACACTGCTAAATTAGGGACGGCTAGCGCAGATAGCCCTCGTGTAGCTTTGCGCGAAATTCCAAAACAAACAATCTATTATATATATATTTTTAAACTGTGAATTCTGAATTATATAATTAATATCATCCTTTGAATTTTTGTAGAAACAGCAATATGTTTTTAGCAGACAGTAAGGGTTGCAATTCAGGATGAGTTTTTGTAGAAACAGCAACATGTTTTAGCAAACAGTGAAGGTTGACGACCGATTAAGTAATGTATGTCGCACCAAGAACATTACTGTGAGCCTGAACTGTAGTGGAATCAGACTGATGTCGAGCAATGTCCAGATACCACAAGGGGTCGACAACTCGAAAAGGGTTGGGAACCCTGCCTTAGTGTGTTGTGTTCAAAGGTGCCATGTGGTTGCAAGTATGGTGCTGTCGTGAAGATGGGTGGTTGAGTTTGTAGATATTCCAAAACCATCCGTCCTGTTAGACCTTCTTCCCTATAAAAGTCCATTCCGTTTCAATGAACCACTGTTAGTGTAAACACTACCCACTTTCACTGAATTGCCTATACCTCCCATGGTAAAGTTCGTTTCAATGAGGCACGATCCCAAGGTTCCTGATGATCTCTAATATACGTTTTTTTTTTCTGTTTTTCATTCTCCAGTTGGTGTACTCTTTCTTCTATGTCTCCATTTTCCATCCTCTCACATTCAGCATAGCAACAAGGCAGATTAATACGTTCAAAAGTTTTTATCAAGTATCAAACTTCCATACCTATCTATATATCGATATATCACACAACACTTGAACATACTAATTGTTCTGTATCGTCGGTTGGGTTTTGTTGTTCTTAAGCGCATAACTATACAATGGGCTATCATTGCTCTGTCCATCACGGGTATCTAAATCTGATTTTTAGCGTCTTAAGCCTAAATAGTTCCCGTTGAGCCACTGGGAAGCTTTGTAGCTTCGTTAAATAACTATAGGTATATTATGTTGTCGGTTCAAATACAAAATTTTTACTGATTGTAAATGTGTTTTTCAGAAATTACCCAGTTGCTCCGAGTAGCATGATCTTTAACAAGTATTCTGATAAAAGTTGTAAAAATGTATAACGTTGTGTAGATAAAATGTTCTGGCCAGTTACTAGTCTACCAGAATGTAAAATAGGTTGTTGACCATCCGTAGTGACTACACTCCAGGCTAGAGTAATAGCGGATAGTAGTTTGAAATAATGCACAAAACTGATTATTTGCTATCAATTTTGATTATGCTTCTTCTAAGTGGAGCTTTTAACCACAAATTATGCAGATTAGGTTGTTCATCGTCCACTATGACTTTACTTCTGATAAAATTAGTCCCGGTAAGATTTCTAAAATCATGCAACTTAGATTATTCACCATCAATTTTGAAAGCAATAATATTTATAATTTTGGCATTTATGATATATAAAAAGGATTGGATTACCTTGCAACAGTGTTAGCTGAATAGTTACAAATAAGTTGTACGGTGCCGATACCATAAATACCATTGTAAGTACCATAAAAAGTCCTTTTTGTTGTTTTTTCATTTATATTAATTTAGTAACTGAGTAATATTTATAGCTTATGATTTTGTAATTAGAAAAGTAATCAAATGTTCATTACAACTTTAACAATATCAAGACACGCCGTAGTGTGTCTTGCGGCAAAAAAACAAAAAACTTGCAGGGCATACTGTGTTAACAGGAGTGATAGTTTAGCGATTTTACACCTTCTGTAGCTCAGACTGTGGTAATCCAAACAAGCACATATTTTCAGTGTATGTGCTCTACTGGACTTTTACTTCATATAACAAATTTTATTGCAATCCATTACAAAATACCTGAGATATATAAAATCTCCAATTTTTATTGAGTTTCTTCCTATTTTTTTCTTCGCACTAAAGTTCGGAAACTTTGATAGAAAAACATACTTAACTTTTATGGATTTTTTTTTTCAAATTTGGTACGCTGGTAGATCTTTACAACCTACAATTAAGAGTTTCATGTGGTATAATTTGACGAAAATTCTTCCGCATGCCTACGCAAAAAGTCACGTGAGCTATCGGTCTAACGTTTTTACTAAAGCTTTTCCTGAGAGTAAAAGTGGGACGTTTTTTGTCATTCGGATTAAAGACGGATGATTTAGAGCAGCAAAACTATAAGTTGAAAAAAACGTGCAGATATATAAGTATTGGTTAGGCCAAGCTAACTAGATTAGCAGTTTCTAGCTCAAGTTTTCAAAATAATCACACTGGTGGACGGTTATTATTGATTATTCATTGCCAACTTTTCAGCACAAAATTTACTAAATTTTACTAAATTATCCTAATTAAAGAGCGTTTTCCGTCACTTCATATTACCTTAAGCAATTAGCACAAATAATGATGATGCTTGATACGGCTGTACCGATAGCATGAGGGTGATGACAAGAAACTGTTAATCTAAATTCCATGGCGTTACTATAAAGGAAGTTATTCACACTATTGTTAGAGAGGAAAACCACCACCATATATTTTAAAGAATCTGGTTGGTTCTGTAAAGTAAATGTTTGTTTCGAATAATAGGGTTGCGATCCTAAGGCTAATGTGGGTTACTATCGAGTGTCACTTTCTTGCTTGCTATGGTTTGTTGTTGTGTATTGACAAAAAGTCATGATATCTAATCAAAAACACCTTAGGTGTGAAAAAAGTGCGCCCGAAAAAGAATTCAGCATACGACTTAAGGCAATGAAATCATATTTGGCCGCCAATTTTGATTTCATTCTTTTAAGTCGCACACTGAATCCTTTTCTGACCACACCTAAAATGCTTTTGCTTAGAATTTGAATATGCATAACTTGCTAAAGCCTTATTAAAATATTACTTACGGAAAAAAAAGGAAATAACTAATCATGGTTGTTAAAATATGAAAATATTTCATTAACATATAATTAAAACTATCAGCTATTTTGGCAAACTCAACATTCACGATGTATTAAGTGTAAAGGAATTGTTTACAAGGACCGCGGTAATCCAACTGGGGGTTATATAATGCGGCGCTGACGTGTTCTGGTTCAACCCTAGATTGTTTTTAGCAGAGAGAAAGTTCTTGGCAATCAAGAGATTAAGCGCGTAAGCTCTCTACTTAGATCCGAGTTGATGATTGGCTTCTTTATGGTTTGTGTTTGGTTATTTTCTTATGTGTTTGATATGTTTACGCCTTAAGCGATTGAGTAAAGGTGGTAGATTTATGAAGAGAGAGAGTGTGTGCATACAGTAATTCTTTATACTGTAAATAATAACAATTCGACCTGTTAACTTTGGTTCTAACAAATTAAACTTATTTTAAGATGCATTAAAATACCTTTGAACATTTACTAAAACGCTCTGGTAAATAAATCGCTGCAACGTTTGTTTGTTTGTTTTTGAATTTCGCGCAAAGCTACACGAGGGCTATCTGCGCTAGCCGTCCCTAATTTAGCAGTGTAAGAATAGAGGGAAGGCAGCTAGTCATCACCACCCACCGCCAACTCTTGGGCTACTCTTTTACCAACGAATAGTGGGATTGACCGTCACATTATAATGCCCCCACGGCTGAAAGGGCGAGCATATTTGGGGGGACGGGGATTCGAACTCGCGACCCTCAGATTGCGAGTCGAGCGCCTTATCCACCTGGTCATGCCGGGCCGTCGCTGCAACCTTTAGGAAATAAATTAACCCAAAACTCCTTTTTCAAGACCGTAAGTATTTTCTTAAGGTTAAAGTTTGTATTTCTTTTGAAAATATAACCTTAATAACAATATTTTTCAATACAAAATGGAAAATAAAAGACAATATGTAGACTATAATTCTGCTCATCGTATTTATAAAGTTCAGTTTCTTTCTTTCTATACAAGGTAGGTTAACATTAAAACGTAATAATGACATGTGCAATTTACTTACATTTTCACATTTAGTTCATTCAGGAAATAAAACATAAATGATGTTACGTATTTAAAAACGGATAATTTCCTTGATTAAAGATAAAATTTAAAAACATAAATTAACTAGTTGCACGGTAAAACTAAAACATTTTGTTATACGATAAAGCTACGCAACAACACTTATAGTTAACTCAGTACCAACTACAATAAGAGCTCGTATAGTGTATGTTGTTATTAATCTTAACTTGTTGACAATATACCAGTTACAAATGACTGTTTGATATAATTATTGAAAACGAATACTTATTTTTCTGTTCTCGTATCTCTTTTTTTTTTAAATGTAACACTTTTTTGCACAGAGACATCTACTTTAAAGTCTTTATAAATTTTAAAATATTCCATTCGGATTAAGCATTTTACCACAGGTTGCATGCATTAGAATATCAATATTTTGATAAAACAATGAATATTTTAGAAATTTTGGATTTTGATTTAGATAGTGAATATATATTATAAAATTATTATTATTGTAATACCAATATAATCTACCCAGATTTACTGAAGTAGTTAGATATGATCTTATAATAAGATATGCAGTCATGAACATTAGAGCCTAATGTTCAGGTTAGTCATAAATAAAAAAAATCACTATAAAACTTATAAAGTATATACATTATCGAAAATGTTATGTTGTCTTTTGATGCTTATAATCAGTATGTACAACCTATTTTCAGATTTATATTATACTTAGAACAAATGACAACATTTATTAAATTTTGTGGAAATATTTCAACCTCGCTACGTTTCATTCTGATTTTCTTTCTCGAATAATGAATAGATACAATAAACAACTCGCAAAGTTTTTTCTTTGACTGTATGGGAAAGATTAAGATATATATTTTTAAAGGAATTTCTTGTATGATTTACTTGTAGAGTTGAAAGTTATATCAATGATATAAAAAGAAAAATTATTTATTATTCGTATATAAACGTTTTATAATTGTAAATAACTTGTAGTCTGATAGTTATTCATTCTGAAATTACATAGAAAATAAGAGAATTTTATTAGTTAAACAACAATAGATAGCTGGAGATCGAGAAAGGTCAGTTTTATGATTTTGCGAAAAGCATTTTACGATTTGTTGTTTCATGTGATCAGTTCTTCTAAACGGGCCCCCCCAGTGACACAGCGGTATGTCTGCGGATTTACAACGCTAGAAACCGGGTTTCGATACCCATGGTGGGCAGAGCACAGATAGCCCTTGTGTAGCTTTGTGCATAATTAAAAACAACAACATCTTCTAAACGGCCTCTACGAGTTTTATATTATAGAGCTGAATGTAAACCAATTAAAAGTCATTATTTCCTAGATCATTCTTACAAACCCTGAAAAGAAAGTACAATTTTCTGGAGAAACAAATTGAAAGATTTAAATAAAAGCGTGGATATTTATTTTGATTGGTTGAATATAGCTAAACAGATTACAATACTAAAATACAACAAAACTAAATACTATAGAGTATATATATTACGCTTTATAATTTTGCCATTACATCTGAAGATTAGACTCTTTGCCTTTCTTGACTAAACGTTATAAAATAGCAATTTCTCTAGTGGTATAAATAAAAACAGAATAATTATTTTACCAGTAAATCTAGTATTTTAATTACATGCTTTAAAAGAACCAACAGTATATAACAGTCATATGTATAGTTTGTAAATATAAAAACCCTCTTCCCTAACTGCTTAAAATTGTATCTGTTGGTTGAAGATTATT